AAACATACAACATACATACATACATACATACACACATACAAACATACAAACCGACACGCAAAGTTACTGGTTTATAGAATGAAAGGATTCTAAATTTTGATCTATCTTGCAGTTAGCATTACGTGCGTCCTTCTAGGTGCTAGTCTGTGATGAACAGTTCCGCCAATTCAAGTGTTTTTGAGGGGAAGTGCCCTTGCAGTCAGTTTTTAAATATTGGAAAACAGGGATATCTTAATATGGTGCTGTTCAGGAGCCTCATTGGAGGCAGCAGACTAGGTCAGAGTCTAGATCGGAGGCACAGTGAAGGCAAGGTTCAGGATTCGGTTGGAGGCGGCTAACTGTAGTATTTCAGATCGCTGAAGAAGGTGCTAGGCACCGAAATATTCGAAGGAAGTATTAGAAACAATAAAAATTTTTGCGAAGATTTTTTGGATTCTTTTGACGGCGTCTCTTTTACGTGTTTCATGTTCGGAAAACAAGGACTTCAACGTCCTGGCAGTGACTCTGCGAGCAAGAAACATTTATTAAGCTGCGTCCTTAACCTTCTTATCATCGTCCTTCTTTTCATCATCTTTTGTCTTCTGAAAAACAATCAACTTGAGACGGCTTGAAATGTCGGGAGAAACACACGAAGAAACACACGACATCCTCCATAGAAGCCACGGCAGGTGTAGGTTTAGCGGTCTTTGGAGCATTTCGAGCGTCAGCTGGCTCGTTTTTGTCACTCCCCTTCTGGACCTATCACGAGAATCATTGAAAATCTCAGACAACTGTTTGAAATCGTTACAATTTCAGAATTTCTATGATCACCTCGTCTTTATCACCCCAATCACTCTTGATGTCATCCAGAGTTGGATACGCATGCTTCCCCGTTTGTAGACCGTCTTTTATTAAACACTGAAAAAAGAGCTTGCAAAATCTGGAGCCCGTTTTTTTCGATGAAGATCTTCCGACCTCTTTTGGGTTAAGTTCGATTTTCCTCGGCTGTAGTGGAAGCGGAAGTCTTCGAGGTGGCTCCTGCACTTTTTCCGGCTGGAAAACCTTCGTCTAGCGGATAACACGATGATTCGAGTGAGTTCCATTTCATGGGAAAATTAGTTAGCTTGACATGCCGTATACTACTATGCCATTTGGAAGCTAGTATCTTTAGCTATGTATCTTTGAAATTCTTCGAACATAGCCACACAGGAAGCTCTTGAAAAATTAAAAGAAGCTCGAGTGGTCAAACACAGCGCCGGATTTTCGAATCAGACATCATAAGGTCCTGATCATGGTTGTTAAGAGTGTTCTCGATAATACAAGGTAGGAAGGTTTGGTTCAGGAGCCCGAAGAAGGAAGAAAGGAAAAATTTGTTGTGGTCCCATAATGTTCATCCTGCACAAGAAAAAGGGTGGATGAAGTCAAGCGCTGAATGTCTGATCCCAGAGCCTGGACCTTTGTCGAGCTTCCCCGCGAGACTGACATCCCAGCTGCAACTGCTGCCCGAGTTATGTCCGATAAACTGAGGATGGTCAAGAGGGTGTGCGCATGGGTACCTAATTTTCTTGTAGAAGCACGAACGCAGTACCGATTCTATACCTCTAGCAGTAATGTTCTCAGCATGAGATGTCATAAGATCAGACTGTGAAAACGCACCCAGCCCTAGATGAAATATGGGTGGTCTTGAACTCCGAGCCAAAACTCACAATCGTCAATTTTGTATGAATGCAGATGAGAAGCCGCCCGAGTTCTACCATGAGGAGTTGGGCGCAAGGGGAAGATCATCATAGCGAAGGATTTCTGCGCTGTGCTTTCAAGCGGCTCTTGACAGAGAACGAAATCGTCGCTGTCGGTGTATATTACCTGCAACTGTACTATAAGGGCAGGGCTAGGTTACAAACAGTACTGAGACCTGGTTCAATCGCCCCATTCGCCCAACATAAAGCCGGGCCATTCCAATGGTCTGATCATTATATCCGACGAAAGGGCTACAACGTTTTGTCATTCGCCGAAATTGATACACGCCCTTGTTGAAAAACGAAATTGCCAATGGTCCAAACGCTTTTGGGGCACTGCGAGCGGGTCATTGATGAAGGAGGGATCTACTTAACTTGAAGCCAAAATATAACTTTTTTGTCTATTTTCCTCTTCGTTTTATATGAATAAACCTTCACATTTTCGAATGGATGACCTAATACTTAAACTTTGAAACATGAAAGCGGCTTACTGTTGTTGTTGTTTTAGATTTCTTTTTTAAACACAATACTGATGTAATCAAAATCACAACGTTCAAGTATATTATCATGAATAAGCTGCTTTTCGACACTGTATCCATTGTTATCTAGAAACGTGATCGTTAGGCTGCATTCATACTTTGCGGCAGCGTCTGCCAGCGCCCACCAGCGTGAAAACTAGGGAACTGTAGGTATCGATCTAGCGACTGCCAGCGTCTTCCAGCGACCAACAGCGTCCGGGAGTGGAGAGTGTGGGGCGATGGGAGGTTAGCAGACAACTGGTAGAGAACGCTGGGACAGGAGTGTAATAGACTGCTGGTGGAAAGTATGGCGTTTAGGAAGATAACACTGGAGAGAGTATGGGGAGACAGAATGCTAGCAAGCAAACTGCTGGTTTCCTCTTAGATCCTAACTCCTACTACTC